GTATTAACATAATTTTATTGTTTTGCCCCTGATCTTTATCTGGATACCAGGTCATTTTGGAATAAACGGAAATGAGAAGGTATATAGAGCTTCTAAAGTAGCCCTTAACCTACCACCAAACAATATTAAACTGCCATTTTCTGATTTTTAACCCGTCTGTAACAAATTTTATTTAAACGAAATGGCAAAATAAATGGTCTCAAGAATTAAACAGCAAGTTATTTGCAATTCAACCTAATGTGGGTTCATGTGCAACAAGCAGAGCAGACCGCAGAGGGGAAATTGTCTTCTCGCGACTGCTTATAGGCCATATCTTTATCACACATGGTTACATTTTGCGTAAGGAAGACCAGCATTATTGTCATGCTGGCAATCAATTACAGTACAACACTTTATGATTGAATGCGCTGATTTCAAACAAATACGTGACAGATTTTATGATGTACCATCTATGAAAAGATTATTCGATACAGTTTATGTGCAATTAATAAATGACTATTTACCCTCTATTGATCTGTACAATAAATTATGATATATTGTGCAGCCAATTTATTCAATATTGATGTATTTCTTAATCCTTCACATGTTTTAAGCTATTAAGTTTTGGTTTGACGTGTCTATTTTCGTGAATGTCTCCTTTTACAGTAGTGTTAGCCCTAAATGACCTACGTAATATTTGGCCCATTTGGCCCATTTGGCCTTTTGTTTTGTTTAACGCCTTGGTTGCCAACACCTCACTTTTGGCTTGAATGTTGAGCGTTTGCCCAGGTGAGGAAGACAATAGGTTATGTCCCCCGGCCGGGACATACCAAGGTCCTTTAAAATGGAAGTTGTTATTCCCTGCTTAGGTGTTCAGCATTTAGGGGAATGGCAACAACGGGTTCATCTGTTGTCAGTATACTGTGACCGGGCGGAGTGCTGTGCTGATTGCTTTCGGCACTGTATTTCAGTGAGATGGCGCGGTGATATCACAAGGAGGCATGTACTCAAACATACCCTGTCTCCCTCATTCACACACGCAAGGACGCATACACTACACACATAGAGGCACATCCTTAAATGGCCTTAGCTGTTATAGGACGTTAAACAAAATTAAACCAAACCAAAAACCATATTCCCTATGAAGATTATTCAAATGAAGATTACTCCAGATTAGTTTATTCCGTACAATGAATGAGAAAGATACTATTTATATATAAATATTTATATAAAATATGCATATCCCAACAATGGCGAAAATTAAAATGTATTGAGGATGAAATTTTGAGAACGATCGACTTCCTGGTCGATAATATTTTTCTACAGTTTGTTCGCAAGTCTTCTCGGGAAAATAATGGTATTTCAATGGGAAAAACCTGTGCCCATATATAGGCCGAATTGTTTTGACTCGGCTTGACCGAAATGTCATGATGCAGCGTCCGTCGTCCGGCCAGGGTCAACGTCTTACTTTAAACAAGTTCTAAACAACCAAGAGGCCTAGTTTGATGATAATTGGCCAGATTTATGCTAGGTCGAAGGCTACCGAGTTTGTTTAAATCAGCGACTTTCGCCAATATTCAAAGTCACTTCTAAATAAGCAAACGGCCAGGATGATATTTGACCCGAAGCAACTAGAATGAATGGTTAACAAGTTTGTTAAAATATGTGACCTTCACCTACATTTAAGATCACAGGGGTCAATTGTCTTTAAAATAAACTACTACTTAATAACCGACAGGCCTATGATGATTTATGACCAGTTACATGTTTAGATGTAAAGCTGCGAGGTTTGTCCTAAGGAATTACCTTCACCCATATTTCCATAACCCTAATGAATAGGGCGGGGATATGTTGCTATTTATATGCGCAGATCAAGAGCTATCACGTTTGTTCATGTGAACGACCTTGACCCACTTTCAATGTCAGATACATTTTGTATGATCAAATAAGTAAAATAAATAAATTATCTCATAATAATAAAGAAACGTCTACGGTTGTGAAATTTGCATACTTAGATGAAAGGCTATGTCTGTTCAACTAAATAGCCTTGTACATGTATTTAATGTATTCAAATTTTTAAAATGTTCTTTTTGACTGACTTGGACTCAAATACTGGTATTTCTGATATTTCTCCTGTAACTTTATTTGAGTCCAATTTTAAGGATGTGATTAATAACAGGTGAGCGATGCTGGCCCATTTGGCCTTTTGTTTTGTTTTGTTTTGTTTAGTATTGTTTAACGTTTAGCGTGTGCAAGATGCATGCGTGTAGTGTATGCGTATGTGTTTTGGGAGGCTGCGATATGTTCGTGTTTGTCTCCTTGTGGTAGCGCAGAACTGATAATGACTTTATAGTGCCACCTCACTGAAACATAATGGCGAAGGCATCCAACAGGACGCTTAGCAAATTAGGAATGGGACGACTGGTTTGCCCGTTGTCAGTATAATGTGACCGAGTGGGGCGTCCTGCTGGGTGTTTTCGGCAGTATGTTTCAGTGAGGTAGCATACGCTATACGCATGCAACTTGCACACAGGGAAGGCCGTCCTTAAATTACCTTCGCTGTTAATAGGACGTTACGCAAAATAAAAACCAAACCAAATAATTACCCAAATAAATAACTAGAAATTTATTGACCACATCGATACCCCTAGAGCTTAAAACCAGCGATACTTTTATTCTTTTATTATGGATCTGCATGAGATTAATTTTTAAAAAAATTGCATCACCAGGGTCCAATGTTTATACTTGGAGCTTTCAAAACCAAATTTAGTCAAGTCTCTGCGTGGAAGCAAGCAAATCAGCGTTACTTAATCCTCGAGAGACACGCATTGCTGTATCCAATTCAGTTGCAAACAAGAAGTACCTCTAATCTAGCGTTTTTATAGGTATCCAATCCGTCGGAGGTTGATATTTAACTCCATGAAACAGTAATTTCTGACACTGAATGTTATACTGATGGTTCGAAGGATGAGATTGTCAGCTGTTTTAGGAAGAAAAATGATTTCTTGTTCTTTTTAGCGACAGAAGAAACTGCCGACAACTACTAGAATATAAGGAGAATCATCGGGGTTAGTCTAGGTGTAATAGTTCCTAAAATAGATACAGTCGGCAGTAGGCAAGCAAGGTAAGCCAAGTTCACTGCGAAAATTATCTGGGTACATTGATCTTAAATTGACCTTCAAAATACAAATAGGCACTTCTTTTTAAATTCATAATGTTGATGCAGAAAGGCACACGAAGAAATTATTTACTGCAGTAGAGACCATATCATATTTAAGCTCACCTGGCACGAAGGGCCAAGTGAGCTTATAAGCACCATGGCGTCCGTCGTCCGACTGTCGTCAACTTTTTACTTTAAACTAATTCTTCACAATAACCAAGGACATAGGGTGATGGTATTTGGCCAGTAGCATGCTGGGAGGAAGGACTACCGGGTTTGTTCAAATGAATGACCTTTGCCCATATTCAAGGTCACAGGGGTCAATTATCTTCAAAATTCAAACAACTTCCTCTGAATTACCAAAAGTCCCAGAGTGATGTTACGTGGCCAGTAACATGCTGGGATTAAGGGCTACCAAGTTTGTTCAAATAAATGACTTTGACTTATAGTCAAGGTCACTGTGGTCAAATATGTTAAAATCTTTATACAACCTCTTCTAAATAACCAGAAGACAAATGATGATGTTCTTTGGCCGAGAGTATTTGGAAATTAAGTGCTACCAAGTTTGTTCAAATGAATGACCTTTGCCAATATATTCAAAGTCACAGGGGTCAATTGTCTTTAAAACATTTAAATGATTTCTTGAAGCATGCTGGAAGGAAGGGCTACCAAGTTTATTTAAATGAATGACCTTCGCCCATTTGCAAGGTCGCAGGGGCAACATTTGTTCAAATCTTTGCATGACTTCTTCTGAATAACAAAAACTTCCAGGGTGATAGTTTGTTGAGATAAATGACATTGACACACTTTCAATGTAACATCTGGTCATTTGTTCGTGAATAATTAAAAGTCATCTTCTCAATACAAATATAGTTTAGGGTGGTTATATTTAGCAATTTGCATTCTAGGATGAAGGGCTATACAGTTTGTTCAACTTAATGTCCATGTTTGACTTTCAATGCCACAGGGGTCGAATAAATATAAATTGTTTAACAGGTTCTTTTAAATGACTTTTAGACAAGACACTGATATTTTGCCTGTAGCTTTATTTTATTTCACTTTTAAGGTAACAATTGTTAGATTAATACCAGGTGAGCGATGCAAGGCCATTGAGCCTCTTGTTTTTGGGATTCATCGACTACTAACGACAACACAATAAAATTTGTCAATGTGTCATGACACATGTACAAATACAATAATTGATAGGGTAAATTAACCATACTAATCTTTAAATGTTGTTATACAACATTGATACAAATTTGATTTTAATGATTGCACTCCGGTCTACTATATGGTATTTTAAAACCAGTATACCCGTGCATGAGCTTGCAGTAGACGGAACAAATACACATAATAGTATGTGATATAAACTTGAAGACCAGTGCAATGAGTAAAACTAACTAATTGATGATTCATAGTTGTTTACTTATTGATACATGTACGTAATATAAATACTATAGATAAGGAATACACAATTTGATTTTTTTTTTAGAAATCTTCCAACAGCAGAAGTCAGGGTTCAAACACTACTCTGCAGTGGTCACACTGCAGTACCACACAGTCAGCGGCTCTGCGTAAGTGATGGACCACATGGGGTACAGCAGGAGTGGATTTTTTCTGATCTTTTGCTACTTCCACTTTTGGTAAGTTCTTCGTAGGCTAATGATCAATGTGTCTTGACGCCTCAGCTACAGTACGGGGACCGCGCCTTGGCCGATCGCGAGTCTCAAGATGGGGAAGGGGATCAGGATACGCGGAAAGTTCGTCCATAGTGGTAACTTGGGATTTACTCCCCTGTAGATTCCGGTTAACGATTCTACCATCGTTTGTCCATGTCCCCCCGATGAGTCCCTGTTTTTTAAAATACCGGGCTTTGACGTATACTGCAGTGCGCTGTTTGGTCAGCGCCTCGTTGATATAGAATCGGCTGCTGGCAGAAGGGGCTACATGCTCAGGTTCGGATGAGTTGGAAGTCCGAGGCGATGGAAACAGACTAAATCTGGCATCATACACCAGGGCCCTTGTGCGATAAGATATGAATCTTATTATAATATCACGTGGATATGTAGAGGACTTTGGGCCTACCCGATGTAAGCGACTAATGTCATTGAGGGTCACCATGATACCCAGGGTATCATTACATGCTGATAACACATATGAGTTTTCCCTTTCGGATTCGGGTATCCCTTTGAGTTTTAGGCAGTTCCTTCTCGAGTACTGTTCTAAATCATCCAACTTATCAAGGAACTGGACATGATGTTGGAGTGGGGTGATACCTATGGAAGATACTAGCGCGTCTTTGAATAGTGAGTTACTCAGTAACTGGGCGACAACTTCCTGAATAACCACAGGATCGGTAATGTCATGTTTAGTTTGGACACTTTTCTGAATATCCCCGGACACCTTTACGGTACACGTAAGCACACTACGGAAAGGAAAGGTCGTTTAATTCACAGACAGTCCAAGTGGAAAAATAGATATGACGGGTGGTCACGGAGTGGTTAAGAGTGGTCACTTCAAATGTTCAGGGAGAATTTTCACATGTTCAGATAGAATAAACACAAGTCATCGTACACTGTTCAGATATCTGATCTTACCGGACCATTTCATACATTTTTAGATGGTCATGATGAGTTTGGACGCATATATCTGTCACAGCCATGGTTGAAACAGTTGCCGCTATTGGATACCGGCTACCAAATGATGCATCAATATTTTCTGCAGAAGCCCATGCTGTATGTCTTTGATCACATTATATCAATGATGTACCGAATAAGACATTCTTATTCTTTATCTGTGTTACAGAACTTTGAAGAATATTTCAATTAGTAAAATATCAACGCCACGGGCGAGAACTGAGAAACATCTCGCGGCTAAATCAGGAAACAAAGATGTGAAATGTTGGAGGGATATCAGTCAATATGCAAAACGTTACGATAACATTTCTCCCAGAAGTCGTCATCTAGAAACGGTAGTTTGTCCCTTGTGTTTCTGATGATGTCCTCCCTCTCGCCTATAATAGATAAAAGGAACGTTTATAAGATGCAATTCAAAATATGCCTTCCTTTTTCAAAGTGCCACTTAAGCAAGCAGGAGAGCATAAAAAAGAGATAATATCATATCAGTATTAACATGTGGAAAACTCATGATTCATTATTGTAAAATTCTGAAACAAAATTATTCAGTTACATTTAAATTAAAACTACTTTAAATTCGAAGAGTTAGAAAAAACCTTCCCTGTTAACTTAACACGAGAAAGACTAAAACAATAGACTTTGTGTCTGATCGATAATGCTTACCACACAACAGGAGTGTCAGAACTTCTAGGGCGGTAGATTCTAACTCGGGGTTCGATCTTCGTCTTTTAAGAATGCATGTGACCGGCTCCAGAGCTTCTGACCGTGTACAGTCACACCAACTGATGCCTGAATCAAATAAGGTAGTGTATATTATAACACCGATTCAGTCATGTTGGTTAAAATCTGAAACCAGAATATCCAAATTATACTGACATCTCCGTTTTAGAGATTCCCACAGGAAACCTACGATTTCGTTTTTCTCATAAATCGTACATTCTTGCAGGTAATCAGAAGTCTATTCGACAAAAAACTCTTCTTCATTACAATTACAAAAAGATATCCCAGAGTTGCTTACATTACAACATAGATGATATAACCTTCGTGGAATATATCTTAAGAATACTAGGAGCTCGGCTTATCTTCCTTATTTACTGCAAGGAGTATATATGTTGCTTATAACTGAAGGGAGATAACCTTACATAGACAAGGACGACGACTTACCTTCCTTGTCAACTGCAAACAGTATGTATGTTGTGTATTACTTACCGAGGGGGAGGTACTCATAGATAGACTAGGAGCTCAGCTTACTTGTTTCTGCCGACTGTATTTATGTTGTTTATTACCGAGAGAGGGTAACCCTAGAGAGACTAGCACAACGGCTTACCTTTCTGGTTGACTGCCGACAGTATCTATGTTGTTTATTACTGAGAGGAAGGTAACCCTATAGAGACTAGCACTACGGCTTACCTTTGTGACTGACTGCCGACAGTATCTGTGTTGTTTATTACTGAGAGGGAGGTAACTCTAGAGAGACTAGCAATACGGCCAACCTTCCTGGTTGACTGCCGACAGTATCTATGTTGTTTATTACTGAGAGGGAGGTAACCCTATAGAGACTAGCACTACGGCTTACCTTTGTGGTTGACTGCCGACAGTATCTGTGTTGTTTATTACTGAGAGGGAGGTAACTCTAGAGAGACTAGCAATACGGCGAACCTTCCTGGTTGACTGCCGACAGTGTCTGTGTTGTTAATAACGTAAGGGGAGGTAACCCTAGAGAGACTATCACTACGGCTAACCTTCCTGGTTTACTGCCGACAGTATCTGTGTTGTTTATTACTGAGAGGGAGGTAACTCTAGAGAGACTAGCAATACGGCGAACCTTCCTGGTTGACTGCCGACAGTATCTGTTTTGTTTTATTACCTAGGGGCTTGTAACCCTAGATAGACTACGACTACGGCTTACCACCTTGCCGACTGCCGACCGTATGTATGTTGTTTATTACTTAGGGGTTGGTAACCTTAGAAAGACTAAGTGAACTTGGCTTACCTTGCTTGCCTACTGCCGACTGTATCTATGTTGTTTAAAACATAGAGGGAAATACCCTAGATAGACCAGGACTACGGCTTACCATCCAAATCAATATCAGACAATTTCTTTGTTGTATATAACTGAGGGGATATAACCCTAGATAGACCAACGCTGCGGCTTACCTTCCTTGCCGACTGCAGAGAGTATGTTACATCCGTAGATCTGCAGTTCCAAGCTATCTGGGTACCGCTTCATCATCCGACTAACAAACTCAATTTCTTTCTGTAATCGATTGGAATCGGTGATTCCTAGAGTCCAATATAGAAAGTTGAAAATCAGGACAAATTTAAGGAACGATCCACCCATATTTTTTGTAGATTACTATCCACTCACTTCCTACTTGATATCACTGTACACAAGCCATCCATACAGTAAATGGTTGTTATACATCACTGTTTTTTCTACTGATACACATTTTCTACGTCTTCACGAGCATGTAAGGGAGCATTGCGTACGTCTAATTAAGTTCAATGTCAACGATCCATACCTGCATTTAAATAAATGCTTATGATATCAGAATGTTAACATTTCAATGATGATTGTCATTACAAGGATTTTATGAACTTTAATTTCACAATATAGTTTCCTGAACAGTCACTTCAAATGACAATAATTCGTAAATATCATTTTAGACAAATTTAAACAATAAATATGCAATCGATATCAATTGATTGTGATACTGTTTCACTAATTAAATTTCTTCTGCTCTGTTAACCTGTCCGACATGTGACTTATGACCTGTTAATATGCTTGTATGTTCAGATGACAGATGATCCGTTACCCTAATCGTGACCTGTGATGTACATGTGTGACCTACTCGCGACTGGTACGTGACCTGTGACGTGTTTGTACCTGTGTGTGTGATGCTGTCCAGTGCCATCAGTCCTACCACTGCTAGTCCCTCGTCTTCTGGATGCTCGTGTAGGTTCGCCATCATCACGTCCAGACCTCCCTTCCTTAGAATGTAGTCCCGTAGGTTTTCTGTAAATAGCAACAAATACTGTACCGATCTTACTCCGTTAAGAACTTATCATCTTATTTTAGGGAATGAACAACTGATTAGGGCTCCTTGTTATATTGAGCCAAATACTGTTAACAAAATATCCTGATTTGCGATCGAATAACTCCGCCAATATTTTGTTTTAATATGGTTAAACGCCCTCACTACTGCTGAGATCATGTGAAGACGGATGTCAAGGGTGAGAAAAGAACAGATTAAACCCAAGGTCGCATGAGCAGGGAAAAAACAGAGACCCCCCTCCTCCCCGTTTCTGCTGTGGTCCCATATTTATCGCCTTTTACGGCATGCAGTGGCTCAGTCAGGGTTGCAATGACGTTAAACACTATACACAAACGCTCAAACTCAATGTCACTTAAACTGTATAACTCGTCATGTGACTTACCGTTATGCTCTGCGAGATAGGAAATGGCACCACAACAAACAGTCTGCACACTACTACACGCGTGGAATATCTTCATCACGTCCAACACCAGGCTAACACATAGCTCCTCTTTCTGAATCGAACCATTTTTGTCTGCAAATGTAAACAACTTTGTTAATACACAAAAATACGACGTTTGTATAAAAACAATAATTCTCGTCGATATTAAGCTATATTTGCTGTGAATAAAGACAAGCTCACTGTTCGTCTATATCATAAATGTTTTGTCCGCAAATGCTGGCAATGACGTTTTAATGTCTGGAAGGTAATGATTTATTTGTCAGGAGCCAAATCCGATTCTGACAGTTTATAGGTCGAGGGCCGAAATATTTCCATTTTTAATAACGGCAATTTAGGCTTAACATGTAAATTAACTTCGGTTGTTTCAATGTAAATGCACGCAATATTAACATTCATTCTCTTGAATAAAGTATAACAATTTATTCGTCTTTTGCATATTTAACATGAAAAGTATTACAATCTTGTTCCAAAAACACTATACTTACACATAGAAATAGCCGCTATTGTTTTGCAACCGGACATCTGGACAGACTTGTCGTCCTTGAAGAATGTCATAGAGTCCGCCAATCTATCAAGGTATTTTCCTTTATTAAAACGGGACCGCCCAGTCTCTGTTGATAGCAATACATACTAATTGTTAATTATTTCAAAGAGACGGAAATGTGTTATTAATTATATGGAAATAATAAAAAATGTAATACATAATCGATTGGACTGTAATTATAGATGAGTCACATGATGTATATACATATGTACTTACATGGTAAACATAGCGATAGTAATGATGTCATTGCTTGTGTTTAAACACGTTCTGTTGACTATTGATATATTGTTGCAAGTAATTCATGTCATTTCTAGGTGATAGCACTATTCCGTCTTTGCGTATTGCAGAGTTATCTTCTCTTGGGAGCAGGTATTGATTGTTACGTCATTAGTTTGTGTGAGAAAATGACGTCGTTTTCTCAAAAATTGATGACGTTACTCTCACAAACAAGTGACGTAACAATCAATACCTGCTCACAAGAGAAGATAACTCTGCAATACGCAAAGACGGAATGAGGTAAGCGTCATATCCGCGCTATAATAAGGAGGCAAGTACACCAACACACCATGTCTCCGGCACACATACAGACGTACACAACACACATGGAGCCACGTCATTAAATGACCTTTGCTGTTGATAAGACGTTAAACTCTATAAACCAAATCATGTCTAGGTAATATCGGATGAAACACTGTACAACTATGTTTCACATACAAATATGATGTGACTCATTTTAAAAACATTGTTCTGTACAATTATTTTGGTAAATATTTTTGAAATCTGCACGAATGATAATTATTAATGTTACTTGTTTTACGGCCCATCAACAAAGAAGAGGCTAATGGGGCCAAGGAATGGTCGATAAAATTAAAAGTAAACTAAAAACTACCTCAATTCAACAATGAGGTAAAAGACAAACGTATTTATTTTGGAACAGACCTAGTTTTCAGCTAGCTTAATATTATTATAGAAATGTTCAGGAGTTGACTGAAGTTGTACACAACGTTCGTGAAATTGGCCTTTGCGATCAAATTTGAAATATCGATTGACTTGTTATTGTAACATCTGATCATTTCGCTGTGTATTTATGCATGTAAAATTTAACATTTGACCATTCACTTTCCTTTTGGTGTTTGAAGTTGTTTAAGTGAACCTTAATATTGTCGCTAGGCCTCAAGTGACGTCACTAGTTCTGTCCCGTTCACTAACTATCTAATTACATCAATAAACGTAGAGAACAGTGATTTCACTCGGATTACCAGACAAATACTTAGTTTATTCTATTAAAAACTAAAAATTACAATCTATGACGAGCCACATCAACGTTAAAAATGACCAACCTGTCAGTACAAGGTTCTCGTAATAGTGACATGTTGAAAGGTGAAGGTCACTGTCTCCATGGAAACGATTCACAGCATCATATAGTATGTCCTCAGTGGCATCTAAGCAGGTGTCGTCTAACCCTGAAAAATATAATATTCCGTTAGGATTAAGATGGTTTGGTAGGTCATCCACGCAACGGTCAAGGTCATGTCAAGATGGTGTCCGCAGCTAACAAAGCCACGTCAAAGTGATATGTCGCGTGCATGTCATAGTTTTAACACGGAAGCATGACATTCTACCGGGTATTACTATAATAACAATGAGCTAGCCAGTCTTTACCGCCGCCCTTTAAAGCAGAACGTCAAACACATATCAGCATGTACCAATGTCAAAGGTATTAAAGTATCTTGGTTAGGTGAGAGGAGTAAGGACTCCAAATTATCCAGGTAGATGCTCGTATTAATCGGCATTTACAGTAAGCTTTTGATAAGAGCAATATATTCTTTTCTCTATCGCGGACCTTTAGGTATGAGGAGATGTGTGTTATAATACCATAAACGCATTTAAAATGATTGAACAGAATCAGAAAAGACTCTTTTCTGAACATATTCATCATGTTGGTAAGTGTGGGTTATATATCGATTCATATAAACAACGAATGAAATGTTTGATTGACGTTCAATGACTAGAACGACATCAGACAAATGCCCGGTGAAGTGTACGTGCGCTGTAACATTTATCCAAGTTGAAGATGAAGGTGACAGAGTACATATCGTAATAGTCATCGAAAATGTCACAGAGAAACAAACTTCACTGGTTGTAACAGATGAAACAATAAATGACTAGGACGTATGGAAGTTCAGATTTTGATCACCACTACATCTGTATAAGCTGAAAGTAAAGCACAAACAGGTGATCACCTTAGACTCACTTTGCTGTAAAGAACAAACACGATACAGCTGTTTGTTTCATCTAGTATTATAAATTCAAGATGCAGTGTGATTAAATTCAGCATACATTATCTATTTTTAATGTTAAAAGGTCCAATGAGTTGTGTTTCTGTTATGATCATCTTCCTAGGACCCACTAACTACGTAAGACTGTGCTATTTCTCTTAAAGATGTAATTCGTGTAATTCATGTTCTTTTTAATCGGAACGAACGCAATTGTGACTGTATTTAATATGTAATTTGACTGCGTTGTTGTCGTCATTTCCGCTACGTACCGGGAGCCAAAGGCACGCTGGCGAGAATCCGGCAAATGTAATGTTGGATATTCGGGCATTTAATATATCGGTAAATTATCATCTCCATGGTTTCTAGCCCTTCGTCCTCCATAAAGTAGTAACTGGCATCCTCTACAACACACAAATAATACGTATCACTAATGTTGAAATAAATATAGAATTAAAACAGTGCGTACAGTAGAACATGTCATTTTATGGACATATATAGCTGAAAAACATGATTTGAATCTTATTTTTATTAATAAATAGAACACCAATACACGCAGGGCACGTTATATATGTTTAAACTGAAATACAAAACGGCGTTCATGTCACTCTTACCTAAACATAAATTGCACTACCATGAACGCATTTTTATCTAAGCACTTCAATGTAAACAGCGTATTGCAAATCTAATTGTATAGACCTATCGTCAAAATATGTTAGTGTAGATGCAGCTAGGACTGTTTTCTGCTTGTTTGTGTAGTTTTGTTCAGGCTTAACCACACTTCCACACAAAATAGGTAATTTTCGGCCAAAAACGTCAAAAAGATAACACAAAAAGACTATACAGTCCTCCGACGCAATTAAGAAACTACATTTCCAAAAATGTTTCATACTTTCATATTGTGCAAGAGTAGCATAAACGCTGTGTTTTGTTATGGAGGCCTATTCCATTGATAGACTAAATAACAGGTGTCATAGTTTTTGTTTCCAAAATAGTTTTTCATGTTGTGTACATTATATAGAAATATATGTTGTAGTGAGTCTCGCTGACGTTATGTGCTGAGTGTTCCTGTGTTACCTTATTGTATTGGTGAGTCATTAACACATAAAACGAACATCACATTGTCACCCACCTCCTCCCATAAGGTTACAGAGAGTCTTTAGTCCACACAGCACAACGTCACTATTTGAGGTCATCTCTTTAATGGTTGCCAGAACTGCAGATACGCCAGAATTCGCCGCCACTCTTCCTTTGTTCTCCGGCACTGTTGTTTTATTGATCATATATTAAGTTGTTAAAACGTAGACAAACTCATTATTTACATATCAAACAGTTTCTGTTGAATTATATATTCCCCGGTATTACATGTTATTAGAACTTTAGGTAAAAATGATTACACTGCTGGACGGACTTATTGCTTGACATCTTGAATTAATTAGTATTGCAAAGATACCCCGGAGATGAGAAAGTTTGTGCTAAGACACACAAATAAGACCACGTGGTCGTTCTGATTTACAATTTAAGTATCCAGACCAATTTACTTCCACTTATCTTAATTTTTAAGAAAAAATAAATTTAATGTCATGAAAAAAGTAGGAGACCCTATTTATGGCTTATAAAACATATCTACTATTTAATTATTTGACAAACTAACGTGTTGGTGTGTCCCGATGTAAGTCTATATACATGATGACTTCACAACTTACCGTCAGCCGTGATGTTGGTCAGTGCCATACACCCGTACGTCTGTATCTGCTCGTGGCGGTCATGTGTTAACATGGCGGCAATGACAGCCTTAGATCCACCATCAGCCTCAATCAACTTTCGGAGTTGCTCTACAGAAAAGGTTACATTTCGATTGATATGTATTTTGTAATAGTTTCTTTCCTACCACCATATCAGGACTAAAAATGAACAAATCAAAATAAAATCCAAATTAATATTAACATCACATATTTGCACCAACTGGAATCTTCTCAAAATTGACATTAGTTTATATATTCTATGGCACTTTTTACGTTTGTACTTTACGTTTTACTTCTCTCACCATGCCTGTTTTTATTACATTGAAAATACTTTGTACCATTTACAGCAACATTTCCCAGAATTCGACAGCCATGTTCCTGCAGTTCCTGGCTGTCTGGAAAACACGTCATGATGTTGACAGCTGATCTCACGCCCCCCTTTTTTACCAGCTTTTCCTGCATCTCGCCTGTAGGTAATCATTTAATGTTAAGGTATGTGCTGTGTTACATCTCTTATGTCATCATATCAGGTTCATAATTAGAATGGTTATTTACAGTGTAAGCTCATTATTGCAATATTGTATGCGAGAGTAAACCTTAAAACTCGAGCTGTATGTTCGGACAACTGAATAATACAATTAGATAATAATTTAATTAACAACTTATCCGACAACGCTTAAGGTTATTTTATACAATTTAATCAAATAACATGTATACTGATCTTTGAAATACAGACATATTATATAGTTTTATAAGTCAACAATCTACAACGCTTTTCCCCTGCTTGATATATGAATAAGGAGACTAATCTCAAGTTTAGAAAAAACTCGTGTCAATGTCGCTGCGCTAGAGTCGGGACATCACTAGTACTTCGTTCATTTATAACTATATCAACTTACCTGACGTCATCACAATTTGACCAATAGCGAAGAATATTTGGTGCTGTATTTCCAGATTGTCAGGGAACTGACACATGGCGTCCATACTAACGCCAAGTAACCTGTGGTTTACCACATGACTGAGTGTTGTTTCTGTCGAGTTTGAAAATAAAAGATGTAAATAAAAATGCATCACTTTAGTTATTATTAAGACGCTAAACCCTTTAAGTCACTTTTTCTTTTACATCGAATCAAGTTATCCCAACATACTCATACCACTATTTAAAAGTTGTCATTCATTACAACGCCACCTTTTACTTTTTAAATATTCAGTCAATATGATTATTACAGAATATGCGGATATTTTAACAGTATTTCTTGCCATTTACAGTTTCAAGGGTAGGTTCGTGGAGTGCGTTGGCAACTCGGCTGATAAATGACCACGCTGAGAAAGTCAGACTTGCAAAAAACTTAAGTATCAAACTAATGCTTATTAACAGTCAACACATGTTTGTTTGTAAGGTCTTATTTGCGGTTCAAACAATGCCAATACCTCTTGTGTAAATGCAAAATGCATAAAATATTGATTGACTTGAAAACAAAAAGGCAGTATGGTTTGTTTACGGGGATGAGATATACCGTGTGCCGACAGATTGCTGATAGTCCACCAGCCATACTCCTGTAAGGCCTCGTCCTTTGGGAACTTCTCTAGGGTTGTCACTATCGTGTTTATACCATTGTTGTTGCAGATGTTGACGCAGGACTCCTCTGAAATTGAATTAGAAATACTTAGTTATTACATATCAACAAAGCACCAAAGTTCAAATACTCTAAAGATTTAAATAAATAATTATAAGCGAAGAACATTTCTGTGGATTTGGGATATGTGTACATCAAAACACATGGCCGGTCTAATATATTCCGATATTATTTGTTTTTATTCGCATCAAAGCCTATGTTATCTCAATAATTATATATATTAGTATACAGGAAGTAGGGTAGAAAACGACTATATCACCAATATATTGTTACCTGTTACCTATGCGTAAACAGCGGAGACATATCTTGTCAAATTAAACTGCTTACCGAATGTTGCCTTTAATATTTTTGTTACCGAACGGAGTAAACATTGACATTCCGTAGACAATGAGATTGAGCCAGCTACTCGGCTACTCGGAAATGTGTCCACAAACTGTGGCCGATATAATGTACACACAAGCTAATGTTTTAGATGTATTTTTAACATTTTTATCGACTTTTGCATGACGTCATTGTAACCGTTTTAGATCCTATGGACATGCGTTTTGTCACGTTCTGTTCCTACAAAAGGTTTAAGATATGAACGTCTGTGGTTTGTTTCCATGGCTGGTACGTTAAGGTCAAACCAATCTATATTATTTTTAGAGTTAAATGAATATATCAAACGGATATATTCTGCAACTTATATCATCATTAACTAATCGTTAACCGGATACACTTAACAATATCAATTTTAAAGAAATAAAGGAACGAGTATCGAATCCAAGTCATACGATGAATTTCCGGACGCGACAGTATCTTGCATGTAAGGTAATAACACGAAGACAGTAGTATGTTCGCAACCGGGACGTGTGCTAACTTATTTATCTTTTTACCACTTGTGGACTTTTCCGGAGACAAAGTTTTGTTTTTAAGTCTAATATTTACGTGCCGTAATTCAAACTGCTTGACTAAAGAGCAATGCATGAGATAAAGTTATACCTATAATTACCGAATTTAGTGAGACAAGCTAATGCCCAGCACCCACACTCCTGTAGTGTATCAACGTCTGGTACTACTGCCATAGCAACCAGGACTGCTTCAACGGCACCAGCGTTAACCACATCCATACATATTTCATCTACGGAAGAGAGAAGACACTTTTAGTGTTTTGTTTTGAATCAATACTGTGACTTTTGTCCTGGAATATAAATGTACACATGCTTAAATGTATACGGAAAAAAATAATCATACCTGTAAGTTAGTCAAACATTCTCAATAACAGTTAGTTACTCGAAACCCACGTGTTCCCAGTTATTTCTGATTGACGGACAGTATGCTTGTTGAGCGGGTTTCGTAACCCTGACATTGTTTTCAATTTGTTTTAAAACCGTCTTTTTGATAATATTATTTTTATAGTAACTATGTTGTAGTAAACTCACCATGGGCAGAAAAGCATCCAAGTGCTCGGCATCCGTTCTCTAAGACTTCGGCATTAGTCGGGAAACTTTGCAGAGCTCCGATGATGGCGTGAACTCCGCCAACAAACATTATGGACTGCGCAACATCAACTGAAATAAACAGTACACATGTCACACTTCATTGTATCTCTTGAAGGACATAGTTTTACTGTGTTTTGATTGGATCATTATAGTTATCAATATCTTTTCCATTCGAACAACCCTTTTTTCCTGGTCTACGTCATACGTACTACATTCCCTTTTCTTCAGACTCCCTCTACCTGATTTCATTGTCAGGTAACTCTTGCTCTAGTCATACTCACCTGTATTGACGAGGTTGCCGAGGATGAAACAGCAAAGTTTGGCTACTTTATAATCATCCCGCTGGCGGGACATCGTTGCGAGGATTTCCGAATGACCTGCATTCTTAACAATTTCTTCCGAAAGTTCTTCTGCAACAGATATATATGAATGTTAGTTTTGATTGAATGTGTTTATGTATCACAGTTTATGTTGCATCCGATTACATTATTTACAAATAAATCTGTCCATTTATCGGATATCTATTATGATTATACATACTGTTATGGTATGTACATAAAGATATAATAATTTATGAAGACAATCGTGTATATATCAGTATAAATAGGAGGTCACATTTTACCGGTTAGTGAGACGTTGCCGAGTATTTCCAAGACGGAGAGTAGGAGCGGGATGTGGTCGCCATGGTTACGGATAACCTGTAGCAGGATGGCGATCCCATTCTCACGGCACACCTGTATACAACTGGCCTCTGTGTGGGACAGATATTCATCAAATAATTTTCTACGAAATGAAGTCAGGTCGAATTAATTCAAATTATGAAATTCCCTTAGTCATGAAGAAAACGAACAAAACTTGTAGAACACATGCGGTATTTATAACAATACATGGATTTAAACAATTAACCAAATAAAGAACTCTATACAGATAAGAAATTCTTTTATCAGATATTACTGCAGACAAACGATATATGTATAAAACTTGTCTCAAAGTTTACATATCGACCGGAATCTTTGTAAAGCCAACACTGATGAACTTATTGAAGATACATATCTATTTTGAAAAAATTCGTTGGGATGACGTCCAGCTTACCGGAATTGGTGGACAAGGCCACTAAAGTTTTACAGGCCGCTAGGTGGAGCTCTGTGTTATCCATAAACGTCGCCATGGCTGCCACCATGGCCGATATAGCTTCCTGTTTCTTCATCAGAACCTCGATGTCATCTGTGCGTACATAAACACGAACCCATTTAAACGTTTATATCAGAACATAATATCTGTTGTCTTTTGAATATTTCGTATTATCTTAATAAATATTGTGTTGTAGAATACCAATGATTACGTTTCATAAACTGACCTAGTCTCTAGTAAATGACGGAAATCTCTTTAAACAACGTATGACATAATTGAAAAAAATCATGTTTGCGTAAACATTCCATATGTAGATAGTGTAAAGTTTAAACTGTGATGCGGAAGGATTATTTAACATGTTAAAATATGACCTGATCTAAATATCTACCCATAACAGCAACGCCGTATATCAATTACAAATCGATTAGTCTCGTGAAACAACGATACAACAGCTGTAGCTTAGATTAACCCACCATTATATTTCAGTAATGTAAATGAATTATCAGTAAATTACGTTTGAAGTTGTACGAGTGGGTATAATTACCGTCATCAGCAAATCTCTCCATATCCAAGCACGCCTTTATCTGACTCTGGCAATTAGCGGGCTCTGACTTCATGGCACTGATGAGATCACTGATCGACAAACGTCTGACATCATTGCTGATTGTTAAGTTGTCTGAAAAGTACGATTTGTTAAAAACACCAAAAACTAATCATGTTTGTTATCGAACATTACCTAAGGTTACTTTAAAATGTCTTCATTTGAGATAGTATCTGATTGTTAACTGCCCGAATGTTTCCCCACTTTTCACATACAATATTCTTTTTGTTTTGTGACACTTACTTTGTGGCGGCATGTTGTCCAGTGGTATCTGATTTTCTGTATCCAAGTATCTGGAATCGTCGACTGGAACGAATAAATTAAATGTAAAAGATTTTGAAAAAATAAAGAAAAGAAAAAATAAATAAAAAAGAAAATAGAAAGAAGTATGCCAAAAAAAAGGAACGAAAGCAAACAAAGAGAAAAAAAAGGAGAAATTATGGACAAAATGCACGAACGACTATCCAAAAATTACCACTGCCGCAAAAACACTTTTTAGAGAATGGATTAGTGCAATTTTACGTTACAGAGTGTGCTGAACCAACGAAATGTCTGTTTGTAAAACATCAGATTGATTTTATGAGTACCATGCTGACGTCACGAAAGGACACGTGACACATATTCTATTTGTATTGTTCTTTGTTTGGAAAATTTTGAGACATGTTTTGGACAACAGGGATGTTTTTATCTCCAGTTCGTGATATAGGGGAGTCAGTGGAGACAAAACACTATCTTCTATATAATCGCACGGCTAACAGTCGCTGGAGACTTGAATACTCTACTGTTTTTACAAGACTTGTGAAATATTAATATCTTATCTAGTGCCGTGATAAGTATCTGTTTCATCTTCACTTCCTTTTACACAAAATCTTACTGAGGCAGTAAAACAAGCATTCAACTTAGACACATTTAAAAGCAAAAAACAATTATGTCAAAAATATAACCGTTGTGTACAAAATGCAACTAATGTGTGAACACTGTGTCATAGTGTGTAGAATTCGATTTTTGTTCTGTAAAATAATATTATGGAAGATGTTATTAGAGATGAAAAAGGTTTTGTTTCGTGGATTGCTTTAATTTTCTAACAAAGACATATTTTTTGTTTGTACAATGTTATCATGAATAAAATATGATTTTGATAGGAATTGTTATCGTTGTCTATATACGAAAAGTGCTTATCCTGACTTTGAAGCCCACCTCGTTCGTCCCCTTTGTAGAAACCATTTCTTTTCCTATTTAAGACCAGTACTATGTCTTATGTAAACCACTGCATGTATTTTAAATTGAATGAACTACTGCCCCGATTGAAGTACTTTGGATCTATATCTTCTTTTGTTTCCCCACTATTAGGCGGTCCCTGCAGGTAGAGCGTAAGAATTGTACCTGCTGCCCCCATTGTATGATCGAACGAGGCGACTAAATTTGGGATCTTATCTTTTCTATTCTTTCTGAACAACTTTTTTCTTCCTAATGTCTTCCTTGCCAGAAAATGGAATATTTGGGATCTATATTTTTCTTTTTCACTTTTATACTTCTTATTTCGCTGGTGCCTCATTAGCAGTTGACCCCCAATCAAACAAACGAAACATTTATAATAACTCTTATCACAAAGTAAACATGTATCATAACTCTTATCACAAAGTAAACATGTTTCATAACTCTTGTCACAAAGTAAACATGTTTCATAACTCTTATCACAAAGTAAACATGTATCATAACTTTTGTCACAAAGTAAACATGTATCATAACTCTTGTCACAAAGTAAACATGTATCATAACTCTTGTCACAAAGTAAACATGTTTCATAACTCTTGTCACAAAGTAAACATGTTTCATAACTCTTATCACAAAGTAAACATGTATCATAACTTTTGTCACAAAGTAAATATGTATCATAACTCTTGTCACAAAGTAAACATGTATCATAACTCTTGTCACAAAGTAAACATGTATCATAACTCTTGTCACAAAGTAAACATGTATCATAACTCTTGTCACAAAGTAAACATGTTTCATAACTCTTGTCACAAAGTAAACATGTTTCATAACTCTTATCACAAAGTAAACATGTATCATAACTTTTGTCACAAAGTAAATATGTATCATAACTCTTGTCACAAAGTAAACATGTATCATAACTCTTGTCACAAAGTAAACATGTATCATAACTCTTGTCACAAAGTAAACATGTATCATAACTCTTGTCACAAAGTAAACATGTATCATAACTCTTGTCACAAAGTAAACATGTATCATAACTCTTGTCACAAAGTAAACATGTATCATAACTCTTGTCACAAAGTAAACATGTATCATAACTCTTGTCACAAAGTAAACATGTATCATAACTCTTATCACAAAGTAAACATGTATCATAACTCTTATCACAAAGTAAACAGTACTGTTGGGATAACTGTAAAAATATTGGAATGAGTTGTTGATGTTCATTCAAGCGTGCTCCGGCATTAACCATAGTCTATAAATACAGTCGGCTATATTTTATTACATATTGCAGTTGTTATGCCAGAGATATATGCTTGTTAACGTTCACCTGAAAAATATATGATATCATGTATTACAACTATTCGTTTGCTATTGATAGTTTTGTATCTTTTCAACTGTTCGTGTATTTCTTTGAGTGAACGTCTATTTTAGTCTCGTTTGACCCTTAATGAATGAAATTGTCGTTGGACCGTAAACAATACGAACACAAAAGCAAAACATGATGTTATATCTGACAAAGGTTTATGTTTGTTTGAACTGTATTTAATAAGAACAGAAATGTTGGTATCTTGATCTTCGTTTGGCTCTCACACAAAACGTTGTGTAATCATAATGACTTGATGCAATTCATTATATGATAATGAAAACAAGCATATAGACGGTAGACTGATATCGCCTGTGTATATTAAACCAATACCACAGTCGTGATAAGTAAATTACAAAGCAATAGATATAATAACTTAAGTAGATTATATACAGTAGTCGGTAACGTCGACAGATTAGATTATATGTTACACCCTGACTTAACCCTCCCCAAACTATTAAGTCTGATTGACGGAGGAATGCTATTTAAATAAATTCTGATGTTCACTTGGATTTTATTAGAAAAAAAAAAAAATCCCGCACAAACAAATATATTTCGACCAGGAATATGGGTTCAAACAAACATGAATGTATTATCATAAAAAATAAATTGAAGTAAGTGGTTAGCCATTCGAGAGTTTCTTGTGTATGCGTGCCGCTAGCAGGTTGGCCTCCTCTTGTGTGCTGGAATGTTTCCATCTGTCCCCACTATCAATAGCATATCAAAATAGACTGTGACGCAAATGTTTGACACTTGATCAGTTAACAGATCTATTGCCGGCAAGTTTTATATGAAAAAAGGAAAAATTCTGAAAAATTTCAGATTTTCGTTGTAAGACGAGTACCATGAATCGCTATGCGTGTACATTTGTTATTCACATCAATACTCCTGTCAGTAACAGATTGAATATGTTCGTAAACTAATCACACTTTGAACATTCGACCCTGATATAGACATACTTAATGAAGCTGGTTATGCCAGTATTGACTTGTACACTGTACATATACAGTGATAAAGTCGTGGTTATTAAAATCTTATCCGAGTCAGCTTATATTGTTTGGCCCATATTTTTTTATTATTAAATAAAAATGTGACATGAATTGGAAATTAAATCGACAAAATATCATACAAGATGAAAAATAATTGATTCACCTTGGACGTAGACGGAGGTTTTGTCTACATGAAATTTATCTTGATGTGCTATATACACATATATTTTTTAGATTTACAACAACTGCCTTTTCCTCTTGTCAGTTTTTGACATTGAATGTGAATGTTAAGTAATTTTAAAGTACAGAAAAAATCTGACAATTATAAATAACAGCAACGCCTCTCGATATATTGATGATCATCAGTAAAATTCAACCGATTAAAATCACGGAAACGCACCAGCGATTTATTGACGGTATCAAATAGTGCGTTCAAAATTGATAGTTATAAACCATTCCTGATGAAAGCACCGCTGCAGGTCAGGGAGTGAGGAAGGAATACAACTGCTGTTACCCACTGCACGATCTTTATTAGCTATTTATGTGGGGACCCCTGCAGAATTGGGGATTTGCATTTGTGTCCTCCTTCTACTTACATGTACTACAGGACAGAAACAACGACCCAAATAATTGTGCTGCACCCATTGTAATAACTGGTATATTGGTATTTCTACTTCCAACTACTTTTCGTTTCCTAACGCCTTGAATAGAACTACCTCACCTTATGGTTTACTGTTGACGTTTGCCAAGGCGAGGAAGGCAATGGGTTCTATCCCCAGACCGGGATATACCAAGGTCCTTAAAAAAGTTGTTCTTATTCCCTGCGCTTAACGTTCAGCATTAAGGGGAATTGCAACGACTGGTTCACCCGTTGTCAGTATAATGTGACCGGGCAGAATGCTGTGCTGGGTGCTTTTGACATGGTTATTACAGTGAGATAGCACTAGATAGACGGCATCACATCCGCGTTACACCAACATGCACACATACATAAAAGACACGGACGAATGTCCTAAAATGACTCATATGACGTTAAATTTTGTAAGTTCAACCAATCATTCCTAATAGAAGCCGTCGTCCGTACCGTCATTGAAAAAGACATTCCCTGGCAGCTTTAATCACCAATATACATTATGTACGTACACTGTACACATACAGCATCCAGCATACACATATGCTTGCATACATGCTACACATTTGAATGTACATATTTCAATTTTAACCAAACGTTTCGTTTGATTCGATACATTTGAGACAGAGAGTGAAGTGACAAATTGTCAGCGATAAAGTTGCGTTCCTAGTTCGTTGATCACTATTTTTTCTGAAAGTGTTTTTATATAACAGAAGTCATTATGTACATTGCCTTTGTGTGAAAATGTAAAAATAGTACATATGTGACTGAAGGATATCGGGTTATCTTAGTCGGGGGCTAAGACTCTGTAACATAATCCGAACCGAGGCGAGGCGTAAGCCGAGGTCCTTATGTTACAGAATCTTAGCCGGTGTCTGAGGTGCGAGAAATATTCCTGTAGTACCATAAATACGAAAACAATAACATACGGATTGGTCGTGACGCCATTTGTGATGATTGTTGTGATGCTTGGCTGTCTGCGTTGACACAAAAAAGACATTATACGAGAGGACGGACGCATTTATCTGTCGAATTATGTCTGTTTAGAATATGCCGTCCCTACAGGTACGGCGTAAGAATTGTACCTGCTGCTCCCATT